AGGACAGACGGCACTTTCAGCAGGTACAGCGCCCCCATGATCACCACCCACCCTGACGGGAGCTGGTCTTACTCTAAAGCTACTCAGCAGTATGATGTGTGTTTCAGCTCAGACACACTCAAGAGTGACGTAGTGGTATTCCCCGCCCCGTTTCCACCTGTAGATGCAGAACTGATCAGTATTAACGGAGGAGACACTTTTACCATGACTCAGACTTTACCTAACAAAGAAAAGGTGAGTCCATGAAATTTTTAAATACTTGGACATTGTCATTGCTCGTCATTACAGTTTCAATGGTCCATTTTTTTTTCTTATCTTAGCCGTGGTGTATCTAGTGATTTAAACAAGAACTGTCAGATGCTGTGTATTTGATGATGAGTTCTCATCTAAATCACAGCTTTCTATCTGTTAGATATTTCAACGTGTAGTTCACCATTTGTGGTCCTGTGTTTTTTCCTTTTTCTTTTTTTCTTGAAGATCTTAGGATATGTGTGTACTTTGACTGATAAATTGACACATATGCACATTGTGTCAGTGTACTAAAGGTTATCATTGCTCTTCAAGGTTGAGTTGTGATTTACATATTCAATTGAGCATTTTGAATAAAAAAATTTTTCAGCTATTTGATTTAATTAAAGTAAATATAGAGGAAAATATTAACGAATACTGAATGTGTATAAAAATGCAACGTTTTTGTTCGTGTCATTTTTAAAAGGGAGAATATGCTAATGTGGGCTTACTCCATTTTTATGTCTAAATTAAACTGGTTTTGTAACGTGAAAATCACTCACAATGTAGCTGTGATGATGCTCTAATAAACACAGAAACATTCATATTAGCAAAAGAATATAGAAAAAAGTGTTCGGATGATTAATTAATATCCCTCTTTATTTATTTTTTTTGTTGTTTGTTTGTTTGTTTGTTTGTTTAAATCTCCTTAATCGCAATAAGACGGTTCATTTTTTACCTTTACTTCTAAGTTAGCTTCCAAAAGAAATAGTATTCATAAAAACACAGAATAGCAGAATGGCATACATAATCATGATGGCAACGTCTTACACTGGGGTTAATATTTGACTGTTCGTTTATGAGGGTCAAGTGTATTAACACGTTTGATAATGTGTGTAGTTCTCGCAAATGTCCACACGGGGACATTGCAGACTTTTCCATTTGAGCTTCCTCTTTGAATGGCTCGGGGCTCCTCCCAGATTCAAATGACGATTATGTTTATCAGGCGATTCAGACAAAGAGAATCAGAGGGCGAAAGAGAACGGTACGAGAAACGCTGATATTCTGCCATTGACCTATTGATTTTTTTCTATTTATGCCGTTACACACCGTGTCAATTTTTATGCTTTTTCTCCTTGAACATAATTATGACTGGACCGAGCAGATCGATCTGTGTGTGGATATATCTCGTCTTCGTGCTGCTGGATTGTTACTGGGAAAAGGTTTCTGGGCAGCTCTCTTACTCCGTCTCAGAGGAGGTGAATCTGGGGACTGTTGTCGGAAATGTCGCGAAAGATCTGAGCATTAGCATCCAGGATTTGGAGCCCCGCATGTTTCAGATCGTTGCTGGATCAAAGAGGAAATATTTCGAGGTAAATCTAAAAACTGGAGCCCTCTATGTTAACGAGAGAATAGATCGAGAAGAGCTTTGCGGTGATGAGCCCAAATGCTCACTCAGTGTAGAAGCTGTTATTAATAATCCACTGAAACTGTATCGTATTGAACTGTTAATATTAGATGTCAACGATAATTCCCCTTCATTTGAACGCACGTCGCAGGTAATCAACGTAACTGAGAACACGGCAGTAGGGGCAAAATTTCCTCTGCATCAAGCTAACGATGCGGACAGTGGGAAAAATTCCGTAAATACCTACAAGCTGAGTCAAAATGAATATTTTTCATTGACTACACATAAAGAAGAGGGTGTGACTCCTGAGTTGGTGCTTCAGACAGTTTTAGACAGAGAAAAACAGTCTGTGATTAAGCTCACACTGACTGCCATCGATGGAGGAACACCTGCTAAATCTGGAAGCATGACTATAATAATCAATGTGTTAGATATTAATGACAATCCTCCGATTTTCAGCCAACGGTTGTATAAAGCCAGGGTCTACGAAAATGTTAAAATAGGCACATCAATAATTACACTGGATGCCACTGATTTAGATGAAGGACAGAATGGAAAAGTGATTTATTTATTCAGTGAAGTCAGTCAGGGGAAAAAAACGAATTTGTTTTCTATAAATAAACGAACAGGAACTGTAACGAGTACAAGGAATATTGATTTTGAAGAAAATAATGCTTTTGAACTTCGAGTGCAAGCCTTTGACAGCGCAGTTTTTCCCATGAGTTCACATGCTAAATTACTGGTTGAAGTATTAGACGTTAATGACAACGCACCTGAAATTTCAGTCACATCACTGTTGAACACTGTTAAAGA